AATTACTGTGAGATCTAGACAATGGGACTACATTCATTATGTTGGCCATGGTAGTGTAAGTATCTTTTGTTAGTATTAGATTGACAAATCTCCACACATTCCTTCTCAATTCTTTGGCTAGTATTTAATTGATCCTGAATGCCTTGTGGATTGTGGTGCAGATCATGACATGGGTTCTTTAAAGTTGGTGTATTATTTGAACAACTAACATTTGACTTGGAATGACTAGGCAAATACTTTCCTACTAAGGTTTCGACTATACTGTCCGTATTATTCTGCTTTTCGATTATATTGTCCGTATTATTCTGCTCAGGTTCGTCCGAGAAATACAAGCAAGTAGGTGTAATCACAGACGCAATAGGGCTATTATAATTCGTACATTGTACAACACATTCAGCCGATGTATTATTGGGAGGGAGATTTACTTAGTTGATCCAACGGTATAGATTTTGCATCGGTTGTTGATGCTTCTAATTTCGCCAAGGTTTCCTGCAAACTAACAAGCGTATTTGCCTGTTGTTTCACTGTTGATTCCAAGATAATGACATCCAATTTAACGCCTTCGATATCAGAACTGACTTCAGGGCATTTACACATGTTATGGGACGAGCGAATATTATGGTCGTCAGAACCAATGTCATGCAAAATCAACATCAGAATTGAACGTTTAACTTCACTTGCCTGTTTTCCCTCTATCCTAAGAAACTTCTTTTTAGCCCACCAATGGATATCAACGTTTTTGCTTTTAAACAACTTTTTCTCCCCACCGATCGATGACCAAGTTCCTTCGAAATTTAGTTCGCTATCAACAAACAATTTCAGCGATTCATAATCACCAGACCACGATAGTTTTAGTTCAGGATATCGAGTTATATTTGATGATTGAGTTTGATGTGTAGCTGTTGACATCGTATAGAACTAAATTGCACAGTTTATGATGTTCTCAACACAATAAGTACTTCTTGGTACGCTTTGTGGATTGTGAGAGATAGATCTAGATGTCGTAGTATCGTCGCAATATCACTGTACATACAAATACTCACATACAATTCACATACATGGTTGCAAACGATTCCGGATGAAAGCGTTCCAAACACCACCGCAGGAAGAACTTCAGAGCATGAGATCCCACGGAACTGCGCCTTTTTAAGTGCTAGGTGAAGACTTTGCTGGTCCAATTGAGGCTATTGAGCACTAGGTCAAAGGCAAGAAAGAGAAGAAAGCTTATCACTGTTTACATGTAGCTTATATTTGTTTGCAAAGTTTGTATGTTTTTTACACACTGTACTTGAAAGATTAAACGATTTGTTGGGAAAACGTTCTTCTTTAATTTAAAAGAATTTCGAATTCCAACATCACAAATCTCTCCCTTGGCCCGAGAGCCTCGTTCTCATGAATCGTGAGCAAACACACTTTTGTCTGATTCAAGAGAGCACGGCTCCCAGATCAAGGAAGTATTTGTGACCCTCAAGTGACTTTCAAGTAATCCCACCCCTCTAACCCCCCATTTTCTAAAGGAATTTTAGAATTTATTAAACCCCCTTTATTAAACAGAGAGACTCTTAGATTTATCAACTGGCCTTGAATTTGACGTTAGTATACTGCATTTCACTGCTAAATTAGTCAGCCTTCTCGACCTCTATTAATTTAAGCCCTCCCGGTGGACAGGAGCAACTTCCCCTTCCTTCCCCTCAAACTAAAACGGACTGATTCGGTTTGTTTGACGTCACAAGTTCGGCTCGTCTAAACAACCGATACCATACATTCTTAAAATTCATGTGCTAATCTTCGCGTATTATCTCTCTGTTTTTTTTTTGTAAAAGAAAGAAACATCAGCTAAAAGAGACATCAGCTAAGAAAGAACATGAATTGAACGTAACAGAAAATTCCCCATCTTGGATTAATCAATTAAACGTTCACGGTTACGCGGTTGTGCCAAATGTCCTCGCTCCTCCGCAATGCGACCACATCATCGACAAGGCGTGGGAATGGCTAGCCGAACTGGGGACTGGTATACAGCGAAATGACTCGAGCACGTGGACGAACGACCGCTGGCCAAAAAATTTCAACGGCATTATTCAGAGATATCGTATTGGGCATGCGCCGTTTGTATGGCAAGCCCGGACGAACTCAAATGTGATTGGTGTATTCGAGAAAATCTGGGGAACTAACGAACTGTTGACAAGTTTTGATGCTATGGGTATTCTACGACCGGCTGAGATGGTTAGTGATTTGGAACACACATCGAGCTGGTTTCATACTGATCAGAGTCCAAAGAAGGAGGGCTTTCATTGCGTACAAGGTGTTCTTAACTTAGAAGAGGTTTGTAGACTAAGCTAGGTTATAAGCTAAATTATTCATTGCTAAAACTTTGAAATACTACTTGACACTCTGTGAGAACATCCCGCGAAGCTAGGACGACATTGCTGATTACCTACGGATCACTGGACTCTTTAACTAAAGCGAAAGCTATCAATTTAAATTCTAAATAATTGAATATGAACTATATGGTATAATGTCTTCAAAGGGACTGCGCATCAACCTCGTTCCCAGAGCCTCTATCCCTTTTTCCCAACGTCAAAAAGGGGAAAAGCCCCTGGGGACGAGGTCGACAGTATTATTTTTATACCTCGCGGTGCCAACGAAGATATATTAATAGGATATGGGTAATTCATTTTTTCCACAATTCCATCTAGAATTTAGTAAAGGTTAGCTACGTAAACAAAACTAGCATTTTTAATATTTAATTTTTTAATTTCTCTTCAGATTTCAGGGCCAAACTGAGGTATAAATACTGTAATGAACGGTTCGTAATTCAGATATTTAGCAAAGGCTTGTAAGGCAAATGACTGCAATGTCAAACATCAGGCAAAACTCTGGCAAACATTTATGGCAAAACTAGCAAAACTGGCAAACAGCTATGGCAAAACAGCAAAAGACGTAATAATAAGGCTAATTATAGTAGCAATATGAGTTTGCCATAATTCTGCCAAGGCAGACCTCCGGCACCTGTCACACTGATAATCATTGGAAAAAAAGGACGCATTCTATAGTAGTCTATAGATTGTATCCCATAAACCAATACACACGTGCCAAAAAAATTTAAAAAAACATAGAAAAAAATGAATAGAACCCGGCGAGTATCAACAAACATTAATCTGGGTGGGGAAAGATCGAAGGGGTAACAGCGAAATAGCAGTTGTAAGTTGTTGCAGGCTAGCCAAGTTGTAGCAAAGTGACAGGTACGCGAGAATTGCCACTGTTCTAAGCGACGTCAGGGACTCCCCGCTGCAAAGGTCGCAGACATGATACATCTGCCGTTAACTTCGCTAAAATCTACGTTTAACCACATTTAACTTTGGTTCCACATTTGCGGATTCAAATTTGATCGTGATGTCTTGATTGCTTTAGATGGCTTTGAGTTCCCCAGATTTCCCTAACCGTTCTTTTGCTTATATTTCTATAGGCTTCTATTGAAGATGCTGGATTCACTTGTTATCCAGGAAGCCACAAACTGCACAAAGAATTGTTCCAACGTAATAATGACTACGACACTACAATGGATTTTAATACTATATCCAAGGAAGACTTACACTGGGTGGAGCGCGATAAAGGTTTGGTACCCACTCGAATCCCGGCTCCTAAAGGCAGCTTTACTATATTTGACAGTAGATTACTTCATTGTACCGTTCCTGCCAAAGTACCCCGTGAGAATCCAAGATGGCGCTATACACTATATATTTGTATGACACCACGGGCGTGGGCTGACAAAAATACACTGCAGGCCCGGGTTGAAGCATTTAGAAATCAGCGAATGACAACGCATTGGCCACATCACGTGGGTTTATTTCCAGATGATCTGGATTTTCCAATGTTGCCAAAATTCGAGTTAGGTGATGTTGGGGAAAAATTAGTTGGCTTAAAGGATTATAGCGGAAATCAACTGATTTTAGAAGAGGGGATTGTATCTGACAGCGATTTTACACCGCATGAACGACCGGCTCTTTAACAATGTAGTCATTAATAACTTTTTATACTAGGTTGACAGATATTCTAATATGCAATACTAACTATTAATAACTGTATGTTCTTCACTGAGCGAGAGCTCCGGACTGTAGGATATTAGTCCAGTTCTTTTTTCGACTACTTAACAATTAGTCACCGAAGGCGAGGTGATCACAAGCCTATATTTACTGAACTGCGAAGCAGCGAAGTGAATATAGTCTTGTGATCATAAATTCAGTATTGAAAAATAATAATATATAGATTACGTTGTAAATATAATTTACTTCACTCTTTCGCTTTTGAGTCAAACGAATCCAGCTGCCGTTATTTTCCTGGTTAAATTGCCAAATAAATTGTTTTAGGCATCTAAAAGGTGCTTTTGTCTTTCGGAAATAGGTTAACACCATTTATTGACTATTGTTGCTTCTTTTACTTTTAGAGGAATAGTATGTGCTTCAATTTTTTCTTCGATGATTTGTTTGCAAGTGGATTTTCGGCAGCGATTTTGTTTTGAAAGCAAAAGTAATTACTGCTCAGAGCAGTCTGAGCAGTATCTGAGCAGTAACTATTGCCTCGGAGTTACTGCTGAGGGAGCCAGTCAGAACGCTTGAAAGCCATTTTTCAATACTGAATTTATACTAAACAGCAAGAGTGCAAGACCTCAATGGACCATTTGCATTATAGACTAAATTTTGATCTAAACAAGTCTAGACAAAAATTTCATAACGGCTTGAAAGAGCATCACAAAATTAGTAATATTCCAAAGTTTCGTTGCGAAATGTTGTAAAATACAGATAATATAGCCTTGCGAAGTTTGCCGTTTTTTCAGTCATTTTGCATTACGCGGGAGAAATTGAGAGCCCAATACCCTTTGGAGCTGTCAAGTTCCCGTTTGTAATACAAAATGACTGAAAAACCGCAAACTTTGCAAGGCTATATTGTCCGCATTTTACAACATTTCGTAACGAAACTTTGGAATATTACTAATTTTGTGATGCTCTTTCAAGCTGTGATGAAATTTTTGTTTAGACTGAAGGACGAGATTTATTTTCCTATTTCCAGACTAGAAAGAGAAAGTATCTTTCCCAGGCCTTAGGGGAGGTGCTCCTGGGAGTTACCACATGTTACTTGAAAAATTTTAATGCAGGAAATAATGTTCTAGATTAGAGACCATTTAAATTATAAAGTCTGTTTTAGACATCGAATTTCCGTCGAATTTACTAATTCGTTAAATTGAATGCTTTTCAATTTAACGCGAGTCATTCTCTGTGAATTAGGCCATAAACCTGCTTTACGTCGACAACGTCACACTCAATGTACTGCGTAGAATAGAACTAATGCCCATTACTCTCAAATAGAAATTAAACGAGCAAATTCGGTGTCAAAAACAGACCTTAATCTAAATGTACTGTATGTATATATTGTAAATATATTTATATTACTATATTAGCTTAAAATGTAAATCTATAGCCTTCAGCCGACTATTTTGCTGAAAATTCATTAAACTGGTGCATGTTCAATTTAATTTCAATTTATTAAAAGATACCAATTTTGCAGTTAAAAACTGAATTACACTGGTTTACATGCATACGAGTAAAAATGTCTACAAACACTCCTTATTTACAAGTTGTTAATTGTGATGTAGGTAAGAATGTAGCTAAAAAATTATTATTTAAAACTGGAGTTGCAGGCCTTACTACCGGCCATAATAAAACTCTTAGCAAACCTACTTGTCCTATGCTTTGGTATTGAAAGACAATTATCATTACGTACCGAATATCCTGTTTTATGTCTTGGGGGGAACGAGAAAATGGAGTTTATGGGATGATTCATCACACATTTGAGCAAAAAGTTTCTCGCGGGTTTATATGACACTTTATTAAATTAGAATTTATTTGGCTGATTATGATCACGTATGATATTGAATAAAAATTCCTTATTACTGAGAGTGTTGCACTCCCAGTTTATACACGCCCTGTTTAATACGGTTTGTTCCATTACACGGCTGGTCATCCGTCTCAATCTTAATCGTATCGTAATCGTAGCTCATTTAAGGTGATTCATCAGTAATTGTTCTGGGAATGAGAATTTGTTGAAACTTCTCGGGGATTAATAAGTTAATGATATGCTCATAGTAAAAATAGGTACGCAGTGCGTACATGTTGCATGCCATCTGAAACCTTATAATGCGCTATAGCGCTTATAAACTTCGGTACAACAGGCCTGAAACTTAAAATATTGATTCAATAAGTTTAATATCAATATATTTATTGAAAAATAGCTATTATGTCAAAATAAGAAAACTTAAGATTCTCACGCGAACAGGCAATGTTTTTATGAGCGACCGTTCATCGTTAGTTGCAAGCGACGGTAATAACAAGGTCAAGGTGGGTCAAGGTTCTATCGAAAGCGATTGACAGTTAGATTTCCTTTACAAATTTATAGCTAAATTGTTAAATATTTTCGTTAATTCTTAGTTAATTATGTAACCATGACGACATTGATTAGAGATAGAGACATTATTTGCATGCCAGAGATATAATCCTTGATACATATATACCTAGTAAGTTGACAGATTTTAGAGTTAGTGTGATGTGAGTGTGAGTCAGTGAGGCCGATTGAGACTCGAGAGCCAAACTGGGCGTGCGATTGCGAATATACTTTTCAATAAAACTAGAAAAAGCTTGTGATTTGTGAAAAGTGTTGCGACTACATACTTTATTAATGGCATTTCTCTCGTGCCTGGGGTTAGCCTAATATTTGTTTTGATTGCCTAATTTTTCAATTTTTTATTGCGTAATAAAGCATGTGAACCGCTTATTTTTTGTTAAAGGTACATGAGTTCAGCCTTTTAAATTATGGTGTTTAACGCGCATTTCAGCCCTTTTAATTGAAAAAACTAACTAGGAAAATCAATTAAGCATAATTCAAGATCAGCAAACTTAATGTTTTTACATTTTTATTGTTAAAAACATTGAGTTTACTGATCTTGAATTGACCACTTGCGTAATAGCGATGCCCGCTAAGCATGACGGTAGGAGCACAGAATAGATAATAGGACCAGAAGTCTTACTCAAGCGGAAACCATGCAGTGAACTATATATATATATATATATCTGGAACGATAACATTCAGTCATTTGATTGTGAAAACAATGAAGCCTCGATACCAGTCTTTCACACGGATTGGACGTCAGTCTCAGTCCCTCAAACGTCAGGTTTACGCGGATTGGACGTCAGTTTCATTCCCCCTCTGCAAACCGTTGCACGGCCAGTATAAATTTGAACGCAATCACGAAACAAAATTAAAAACATGGCCAACTCAATGCAATACATTGTAGGAGCAAACAGTTTTGCTCCTAAAATTTACTGCATTGAGTTCGCTGTCGGAAAAAAGTCGAGGAAAACTTCCCCGTGTGGAGAAAAGAATCACTTTTTCAAATATATTGTGTCGTACTGTCGTTCTGGATGCACAAGGAAAGAGATATTCTTGCGAGAAAATTTCATTTCACAGGTAGGTAAATTGACTTGCAACTGTGACTTTGCCATTTTTCGCGATTGTTTGAATTGTTTTTTAGTTTACCAGTTTTATAGTTTTTAGTCAATACACTGGTACGTAATTTTTTAAAGAATTTATTGTGTGATCGGAATTTGCCTGCCAGCAAAATGTAAATGAATATGTACGTGTGTTTGAATATAAATTAGACCATATGGCTTAGTAAAAAATTATTTTAATAACTACGTTTTGGAGTATAACTCCATCTTCAGGTTTATAAAAGTGAATAAAGATATAAAAACTGCGATAAAAACTTTCAAAACAATTACAAATTTTATATGTAAGTGATTTTTAATACTGTAAGAATTAAGAAAGTTCTTGAACAGTTGATGACGAAGACAATGACGAATACTTATGTCGTGATTTTTCTATTGTCGGCTTCACTTTTCGCTCGCTGTTATCGTTCCAGGGGCCGATTGTATAAAAAAGTGATTAAAGTTAACTGTAGTTAGTGGAAACGTCATCCAATAAAAAGCGCGTATTTGAGAGTTAATCACTATTTAACTACAAAATAGTGATTAAAAAAGTGATTAAGAGTTTTATACAACGGCCCCTGGTTATTTCAGCAGCGAACGAAAAAGAGTTAACTACTTTTTAACTGCAGTTAGCGCTAACTACGTTTTTATACAACCGGCCCCAGATATATATATATATATATATATATATAGAGTTCACTGGCGGAAACATGTCCCATCTTTTATACTGCGCATGCGCGAGCTAAACAAGTGTAATGCAGTGTTGACAATAGAAAATTATATTGGGAAGTTGTCATTTCTACAGTAAAAACAGCTTTTTACTGTAAAGTAGTACGAATTGTGACTTCGATTTATCTGTGGAACTATTTGAACAGAAGGTAAAGTAGTAATTTTGTTGTATTTAGAAAGCAAACAGGGTCATATTTTTAAAAATATAGCGCACTGAATATAAATTTGAGCATCATTAAAATGTGTTCGCTATGATGCCATTTTGTCTCCGGTATATCCGGAGTTCTGCTTTTATACTTGTGGATATTCGAATTTATTTGGCTCAAAAACACCATTACTTCAATATCCCTTTCTTGTTTTTCCTTGGATAGGTTTTAACAAGATAGAACTCTAGATCACTTGGGTCCAAAGACGCTAGATTATAAAATCCTGATGTGACTTGATACTACAAATAGAATATGTCTTATGATTTAATACTACAAATAGAATGTCTTTTAAGTACAAACTTCAATGAATTGATAAAGTGTAAGGATAGTGTTTAAAGTCGCTTCATGTGTAGAAGCTGAATTACTTTAGTTTATACACTGTATATTGTCGAGATCACATGTTGAAATGACTTAATACTAGCAACTTACAATAAGTGGTCTGTTCTGATTGTTTATAATACTTTAGAGTTTGGACATTAGAACATTGTAATTGCCTGACAGAGACTGTTAGGGCCTGTTTGTATGGAAGCCGGGCTGGCCCGCTTAGCAAGACAGCCCAGTAAGGTAGGTAAGCAGGATGATTTCTCTTGTGTTTATTTGAGAAAATTTCATTCCGCTTATTTTGTTGTTTTGACATTATTTTGACAGTTGTTAAAAATAGCTTGCGGCAGTATCTTTGAACTTTCATCCCGGCACCGGGCTAGCCTGCTTATGATTGTTTATGTGGAGAAATTTCCATCCTGGTCTTGGCAACCGGGCCTGCCCGCTTGTCCATAGAAATGATAATTTGTACTATAAAAATAACTAGACAGCGAGATCTCACTTACCGGGCTGTCTCACTTAGCGGGCCAGCCAGTTTCGATATAAACAGGCCCTTACACAACTGCTAAAAGCTGCAAGTTTCTTTAAAGCAATATGATCATTACCCTGGTTGCCAGAGGTTCTGTATCTTTCGCCTTATTCCCGCTCGTATTTATTTTACGCGAGGCGAAGAGAACCTCTGGTGGCACGCGATACAAATCTCTCTTCCATGCTGACGTTGCCGTTTGAGAACTTGCAAAACCGGTTTTATATTTTGTGACGTTTTTAAACTTCCGGGTTTGTCATACAGCCTTGTGTAAAATATTAAAAATAAGCAGCCCAAAAATGTAGATTATTCATTAGAAACATGTAGATTATCCTCGCAACTATGGGGCGCCGTTTGTTCATTTATTATTTAATACAAAAAAGCTTGATTATTTTAATGATTTGTGAAACAATCCAAAAAAAATGGATTGTTTACTAAATAATCCATTTCGGTAAATGGATTATTTTCTATATAATCCATTTAACAAAACGGATTATTTAATAAATAATCCTTCTGCAAAATGATTATTTATCATACAATCCATCTACCGAAATGGATTATTTAATATATAATCCAATTTGTAATTGGATTATTTAATATATAATCCAATTTGTAATTGGATTATTTAATATATAATCCAATTACTAAAAATCTGTAATGGATTATTTATCAAACAAGAAATGGATTATTTATACGTTGTACTTCATGTCTCGGCAATTATAACCTGAGTATCAGGCTCTATTTTACAAATAGAGCCTGACACAAAACTTAACCTAATCGCTTTCCGCCCACAGCAAAGTTTATATTTAGTATCCAATCAAAATGTCGCAGGAGAAATTTAAATTTCACAAAACGACAACAACAATCTAATTATAGCATAGGCAGCCCACTAAACAGCTGAATTTAAATCAAAACTGCAATGAACTTATAAAATTAACAAAAATAATCACAAATTAGTGAAATATATTGCAAATGTAGCTTATATTAAATCGCCACCCGATTGCTCTCTCCTCCGCAGAGGTTTCAGTGACAACAATGAGCTTTACATGGCGCTTGCCGTATTTATCAACAAACTGACGTATAATTATAAAGTATACTTTATAACTATACGTCAGTCGATAGTGCAATCTGATGGCGATTTAATATAAGCTACATTTGCAATATATTTCGCTAATTTGCGATTATTTTATAATTTTACTGCAGTTTTAATTTAAATTCAGCCGTTTAGTGGGCCGGCTATAATTAGTTGTGAATTGTGATCGTTATAAAATATATCAACAACAATAGTATAATCTAATTAGCACCAGCCAATCAAATGACAGATTTAAAAATCGTTTGTCTAATCGGCCAATCAGCGCTCAGTCCAGATTCTGGACTGAACAACCAGGCAAAATGCCACTTTTGTGTCAGGCCGTACTTTTCTCCCCTTCGCCCACGATCAGGCGTGCCTGTGCCCTAAAAAGTACGGCCTGATACTCAGGTTACGGCAATTATTACGTTCCTTTCCTATATTTTTCCCGCCATTGAACGTTATTACTATTGCGAGATTCAAAGATGGCCGCAGCAAATTCGGGGCGAATGACTGACCAGGAAATTGACCAGGTATAAATAAATAATTCATATTTTTGTGAATAATGTAGCATTATACAACACGTGTTTATACTTTATACAAACTGCAAATTCTGAGTTTGTCCACCGTTTGCACATGCAAAGTCGCCAACATTTTCTTCACAAAGCCGAGTGTGTTTGAAAAATTTCGAAAAATAATGACATGAAGAAACGTGAACTTCAAAGGTTTTCCAGAGGAACGTTTTCTCGAACCCCTATCCTTTGGCGGTTGACATAAAGTATTGTTATACCCAAATGGACGCCCCCTTTCAGGACCCTGGCTAAAAGCCTGCTTCCAAATAACAGAAAATGTTGGCGACTTTGCATGTGCAAACGGTGGACAAACTCAGAATTTGCAGTTTGTATAAAGTATAAACACGTGTTGTATAATGCTACATTATTCACAAAAATATGAATTATTTATTTACCTGGTCAATTTCCTGGTCAGTCATTCGCCCCGAATTTGCTGCGGCCATCTTTGAATCTCGCAATAGTAATAACGTTCAATGGCGGGAAAAATATAGGAAAGGAACGTAATAATTGCCGAGACATGAAGTACAACGTATAAATAATCCATTTCTTGTTTAATAAATAATCCATTACAGATTTTTAGTAAATGGATTATATATTAAATAATCCAATTTGGTATAAGGATTATATATTAAATAATCCAATTTTTAATTGGATTATATATTAAATAATCCAATTACAAATTGGATTATATATAAAATAATCCAATTACAAATTGGATTATATATTAAATAATCCAATTACAAATTGGATTATATATTAAATAATCCAATTTGTAATTGGATTATATATTAAATAATCCAATTACAAATTGGATTATATATGGGATTATATATTAAATAATCCAATTACAAATTGGATTATATATTAAATAATCCAATTACAAATTGGATTATATATTAAATAATCCAATTTGTAATTGGATTATATATTAAATAATCCAATTACAAATTGGATTATATATTAAATAATCCAATTACAAATTGGATTATATATTAAATAATCCATTTCGGTAGATGGATTGTATGATAAATAATCATTTTGCAGAAGGATTATTTATTAAATAATCCGTTTTGTTAAATGGATTATATAGAAAATAATCCATTTACCGAAATGGATTATTTAGTAAGCAATCCATTTTTTTTTGGATTGTTTCACAAATCATTAAAATAATCAAGCTTTTTTGTATTAAATAATAAATGAACAAACGGCGCCCCATACGCAACTCACAAAGCAAAAAGCAACCTAACTGATTGTTAAATTTGTGGAATGCCGTTTGTATTAGCGAACGTATACAGTCAAAAGTGAAAGAATATAAATATATAAATATTTATATATATGCGTGCAACGGAGCCAGTATGTACGTTGTCCTTAACAGACAACGGAAAAATATTGGCAAAATAAATCATATTAATATCTATTAAAGTCAAATAATTACCAAAATTTAAAACCTTGAACGATATAAAGCAAGTGGGAGTTAGGTAACATCGAGTTGGATTCGAGTTCGAGTTCGAGTTGGGCTTCGAGTTGGACTTCGAGTTGGACTTCGAGTTAAACTTCGAGTTGGATATTTTTTTTTTACTTTTCGGGAAAATGACAATTGTATTTCACCCAACCTTTTTTGCTGCGGAGCGAGCGAGCCTGAACCAAATTTACACATATGGGGGAATTTTATCTTAAACCATTGTTTAATACCGAAGCTGTAGGCCTACATTGTGGTCGTGCGCGATCGGAAATGCTCAGTAACCTTTTTGTCGGTTGTGCTTCCACAACAACTTGTGGTAATTTTGAGTTACAGATTACAGTTACAGATATTGCACCCCGCACACTCCCTATATCAGGGGTTTTCAGTGACTGGTTATATTAGGACCGGAACTGGCGTGAAGCAGACCGAGGTAGACTGTGAGCTTACAGATGGCGCTTTAAGCAGCCGCTATTAGTCCGTACCTCATTATAAATGAATAATGATCTGCCCCCAGACCTGACATGGTTTCCGCACAATTTTGAAATGTTATAATAAATCTTTTTACAGAAATACCTTTTTCATATCATGTACTTCATTAGTTCATTGTTTGTATTCTTAATTCGAATCAAAAGCACTCGTACCCTAATTTATTTTATAGTATACAGTGCCGGACGCCAAAAAATACACAGTGAGATATTTTCCATAACTACAGTAGATCTTCACTAGTGATAGCCTGAGTAGAAGAAGCCCTCTCTTCTCCCGCCCGCACCAAACGCCTGCAGATATCGATCAAGTGTTCATTTTCTTTGTTATTTTTACTAACGACTATGTAATAAAAAGAACATTAAATACACGGTGACTTGAAGTTTCATATCTTATTATTATTTTATCTTCTCGTGGTGAAAACTGAAAACAATATTTTTTGCTCACTCAAACGTAAAATTTATATCTTCGCACCGCCTTTCGCACAGACTGACTCAGCCCCCGGCCCCCCTCTCCCACTGGAGCTGCGGAAAAACAGCAGACTAATCTCACAGGCAGTGCCATTCTCGTACCCAGAGCCCTTCTTACGCGCGGTCAACGGAGCGCGACGTGGGGCTCTGGCCAAATCCATATCAAACTGACATCTGATTGGCTACAACGAAGGCTATTGTTCTAATACCGGATATATTCTATTACCATGTTTTTATGATATCCGGTTATGGATTTGGTCAGAGCCCCTTGTCGTACCGCGCGTAAGAAGGGCTATGGTTACGAGAATGAGGCAGTGCTGATCAGTCTGCTATCGCATACTATACCCTGTCTCCATACCCAGGCGTCTCTTTGTAAAAAAACAGCGATGCGCATATGACGAGTTCACATGAAGTATTGTAGTACTACACCGCCGTCTAACATCCTCTATATAGTACTCTCCTTGACCTTTCAAGACCAATAATGCAACATATCCTCACACGTAGTATTTAAGGGAGGCTGGGCGGGCAGGGGCGGGAATATTAAAAAAGGTAGTCATTTTTAGATTAGGATTAGATTAGAGCCCGATTAAGATTAAACCAGGGTTAGGGTTAGAGGTTAGAGTGGGGGTTGGGTGGGGGTTAGGGTTCAAAATCCCTAATACTACGTGTGAGGATATGCAGAATAGTACTGATAGTTTCGAATACATATTTTGAACGAAACAATATTTAAAATGTACAAATTTTAATATATTCTTTTCCAAAATACACATAGTAATTACTGTATAAGATGTACAACAAAGTGCATTATAAAAACGATTTATAATAAAGTAAATTTACATTGCTACGTTTCATTCTCCATACAGAATAATTTTATAAACGTAATAACACGTGTTTGAAGTTGCGAAGAAGTAAACATGAATCGGAGTTGTTCGGAAATTACCAGAACATTCGGAAACGCCAGTGTATAAGTAACTCGAAGTTTAACTCGAACTCGAACTCGAATCCAACTCGATGTTTCGGGATTCCCAAAGCAAGTGACCAACACTTTAATATTTTACAAATATTAATACTGCAATAGAGTGAACATGTCATGCCATCAACTCAAGCCGCGATGGCAGCTCTTCTCCAGCGCAGAAAATCTTTTTATAGCAGAACAAACTAAG